TTTGTGCATTGCAGTGCATATGGTACCCATGCTCTGGAGAAAGCAACGAGAAGCTGGATGCCAAGGCAAAATAATGAGTCAGGGCCATTTGTTGCTCTGAAAATTCTATCTAGGAGATGAGTTATTGGCACAGTTTGGCAGACTGTGTGAGTAGAGATGTTGGGTATAATACAGAAAGATCTGTTTCACACGTGCTATTTCAATTCCAAAAGTAATTGTATCAAAGTTAAGGGTTTGCAAGGCTTTACACCCTCACAGTGGGGAGGAGACCATGCCCCGGAGGAGACAGAGAGGAGAGAGGCCAGATGGAATGAGCATTGCAGGATTTCCATGTCTTGGAAATCTTTGGGATCTGAAGTGTGGATCATGGACAGTGATTTGTTACACTGCCAGAGGTGAAGACTAAAGCCCTGTTTGTTTAGGGGCGTGTAGACTAGGTTCCTTCTTTTGCCTGAGCTTGAGTGTGGTGGGACACTGAGGAGATGCCGTCCTTGATATACAGCACAGAGTCTTGGTCCAGAAGCCCAAGGGCCCTTGCGCCATACCATGCAGAGTCCAAATCAGCCCTGTACTATTGGAAGAAGTGTAGCAGAGCTTTTTCCCCAAGGCTCGTCCCTCCAAATCCCTTTCTCTTCCAGTGTGTCCTCTCTGTCGGTAGAGAGTGCAAGATTTGAACAGGCAATCGCTACCCAAAAGGAAAACCCTCTGTGACCAGAAAATGGTGCAAAAATCTCAATTCAACTTCGAGGGAGCATGCAGATTGCTCTGCAAGGTAGCTAAAGACCGACCTGCTGTGGGGCTGAGGACAGTTGTGGCAGCCCGAGCAACAAGATGGAGCACAGCAAAGCGAAGACGTGGGGAGAGCCAGCTCTCCAGCATGGTTTGACCTTCAAACGCTCCTTGAACACAGCTTCTGTTTATACAGGGAGTTAATGGGTCTCAACTAATAAGATCTATCTGATTGGCAGAAAAACAGGAGAACTTGGGTTTATTGACAGAGAAAAGGGTTGTTTTCAGCTATTCTAATTTGCATTAACTCTCCCATAATGAGGAGGAGGTTCCCATAGGTGAGGTCAGCCACTGGCCTGCATTGAATGTATCTAGCCTCTCTTCATCGGTGGTGGGGAAAAAAAAAGTGCCGTATCCTTGCCCAAGCAATTTCGTTCTGAGGCAAAGAATCATTTTGCTGTCCAAAAACCACTTCTGTGACACCAATGACAAAAGCCTAAGAAATTTAATCATTACAAGTCAAATCACTGCAGAATAGCCTGACATAGCTACATCAAAATCTTTATTCTGTCATGAGAAGCCTTCCTTTAAAAGGATAAATAAACAAAACACCCCAGGGTCCCACGGTGAGGCCAAGCCTAGCTTCTCCCCAGAAAGAAACTTTTCATCTTTCCTTTGCAAAGGTATTTATGATCCTAAAAGGAGAGGATAAAAGGCATGTTCTCCTCCTGCCTTGCCCACCAGCCCGGCAGGGAGGACCTACTCCCCTGAGCCCACCTCCTGCCTCATCCCGGGCTTGGGACAGGCAGTCACCTCCCCAAGGGCAAGGACCACTTTGGAGTTAGGAAATCCATGGCTCATTCAAGGTCTCTATTTGCAGTCCAGAAGACCCCTCGAGATGAGGAATTGAGCCAAACACCAACACTTTTTCTCACTTTGGCTGCTGTGTGCAGCCTAACCAGCCCGATGATGGCCTCAGTGGGGTGTCGACCCCTGCCCTGCCCTGCTCAGCCCTGGCTTCAGCTCAACTTTTAGCCTGTGTACCAAACCAGCTATGTCTGGAGAACATTCACCCAATTCAACACAGGGCAAAGAGGGATGTTCCTGTGAGATTCTCTTTTTTCTTTGGTTATGGCTTTATGTAAGTGGCTGACAGGCTGTGATGGAGCTGAAGAAATAGCTCTAGACTCTGAGTGCAGGGATAAAAAGAAAAAAACCTAGACCTTTTCCCCCATTCCCTAAGAAAAGGTAATTTACGTAAATTTATCCACGATCAGCATACAGCAATAGCTCACAACTTTGTTAATGGAAACCTGGTGATCCATAACACTTGTGTGGGAGACATTTGCTCGGGGGTAATACAATATTAATGTTAATATCAATGATCGATCAGAAGATTTGCAAGAAAGGCATAAAGTATTTAATTATAATTACATTGGGAATGGCTTTGTAATGGCTACGACATTTGAATAAGGTCACGTCTAGCCCTCACCCCTGTTATGTTGTTCTATATTAAATGCCATTCACTTTAAGTGCTGGAAACCTTTCTGGAGTCGTCAGAATATAATGTACTGGGTAAATTGAAATATGTCCCTTCATTTTTTGAAATATGATTGATATCCTTTGCAAAACAAATGTTAACACCTATTTGTACACAAATTTCTTTGATTATATGTTAGGGAAACTCAAGTATGACAGTGTCTCCTAGCAGGCACTTTACTGTGAGCAAAAGACATGGCTATTTGTGAATATTAATTCATCTTACTAAAAATGATTTTGGATCTCTGCTGTAAATCCACTTGGGTGTGTTTCTGGCTTTCCTAATACATTTATCCTGTATTGTTTAGTAGCCATAACTGTATCTCCATTGCTCTCAGCAGCCCACTGTGTTCACCTGGGCAAGGTGTACACTTAGTAGGAACTTTTGCTGTCGTTCAGTTACCTTTCACTAACAGCATTAACAAAGAACACATAGGAAGAATCATATTCGCACATTTCACAGCAAAAAATATATATTTCAAATATACTGCAGGTGTGTGCTGTAACTATCAGCCCAACAGCAGCATTGCCATGTTTAAAACAATCAAGAAAAAAATCTGCATATAAATCATGAATATATACATGCAGGTAGGATGCTAGAGGTGCACACATACCAACCCACATGTGAGTGCATGCATACATTGAAGTACTAAATGAGGACATGCTCTTCCCACACCTATTTACAACCGAGCATAAACACTAAAGGGGCAAATTCTCGTCCCTCTTCAAATGAGAATCCATCTGCCCAGTGACCCCCGAGGTTTTCTTCTTTTTCTAGTGTCAGTGTAAACAGCAGATCAATCGGGTCTAATGAGTCAAATTTTGCTTTCAGATAAATGCCCAGAATAACCATTGATTCACAGAGAATTGAAAGCTCCCATCTGAAGGCAGAATTTGATCACAAGAAATCATCCCTTCAGAGTTTGGAAGACATGCAGTGATATAACTGATGTAATTTTCCATTTTATCTTTTCTGAAGAAACAGCAAAGACTTTTGCATGCTGTGGAAATGCCTGAAGATAGCAAGTTTTATAGTTTTCCAAAAAATAAGCATTTATTACCAATCAGTGTGAAATACCACTGATGGTAAATTTTAAGTATATGTCAGGAGTTTCAGCATCATGACAACATACATCATGCATTTTTACAACATATAAGTGCAGTAGTGTTTCTCCCTTTCTCAATAACAATATATAAGAATATATAGTATAAGTGTACAGTATATATTAGACACAATGTAAAATAATTTAGTGAAATGTCAAAGCTTCTGCATAAAAATTCAAGTCATGCCTGAGCATACCCCTAGCACAATTTTGCTTAATCTTATCTCATATACCTTCATTTACCTTTAGTTCATGTTGCAAAGTTAATTTTATCTCTCTACATACAATTGCTTAAAACCACCAGAATCCTTGTCTTTTTTTCCTTTATCTGCAGTAGGTGAAGACTGTAGTAGCCAAGCCAAACCCAGGATTTTGTGGAGTCTTTACTAATGCTGCCATTCGGTATCGGGAAGCAATTCACTGTGAACAAGGTGTATAAAAGCAAGTTCTTAAATGCTTGTTACACTTCATCACTGTCCGTCAGGTTCTGTTCTGAAATATCCCACTGCATGTAGATGATAATGAGTCGGCTCTCTCTAGAAATGGAGCTCATGATTTAACTTTGCTATCTGCAAATTACAAATCTCACCAGCTTTACTGAAATTGTATCAAGTACCACTTTGGTAATTGCTTGCAAGAAAGATCAATAAAAATCTGTTTAATAGGAGCATACAACTTGTCTCAAAGCAGGTAGGTGGAATTCTAGCTTTGGTCAACACTGGATACAGCTTCTTGCAAAGCCAGGTCTCCCTTCGTACTTGCTAAATGAAATATGTTCAAGGACTTTTCTGCAGCACCTCAGGAAGCTTTTTGATAGTACAAGGGGAGAAGTTTGTTATTGTTGTTTTATAAATCAAGGCATTAAGAGGCTCTGTGCCTCTGTTACATTACTCACCAAAGTCTACCAGAGTTCAACAGCCTTACGATTAGTTTTCTTGAAATTATTTTGAGTACGACTTCACTTCAACAGTTTAAACAACTCTGCCCTGAATATTAACAAAAATATACTTTAAATACTTATTAATAACTAGATTTTCTAATTAGTGATGAATTAAAGATGGAAAACAGTTTGAAACATGATGCGAAGATAAAAAAATACGGGAAGACAGAGTGATTTTCTGTTATTCCTTTTAAGAAAAGAAAGTGCCCTCCCCCCCCACACACACACATTCTCAGCCAGTGTGAGTTGACAGAACTACACTGGTTTAGATCAGTTTGAGTTCTAACCTATATACTTCAGCAGAATTAATCTTAATTTCCACCAGTGAAGGTGGAATGAAATGTACTTTGTTTTTAACAAAGCAATGGGTGATAAGCAAGTCTCTTCTCTGTCAGATTCTGCTGGAGAAAGGAAATTCTTTGCGGTGTTCAATGATGTCCACGACAGTTTAGAAAACAAAGCTAGAATTTCATGAATTTCAGCATAGTGGAAACCGATCTTGGTAACTGTTATTTATGCTTTAATCTCAGCGAAGGTCTTTGGGCACAGGCAGAGCACGAGCTGGTGAATTGGTAACCCTTTCCGAGTACTGCTCAGGAAGAAAACGAGGAGGCAGGTGGCTGATTTGCAGTGACATGAGGCTGCTGAATGCACTGCAACTCAGACGTTGTCACCACGAATGAATAACATCACATTGTCCAGAGCTGGAGATTAATTTGCTGGGCCTCCAGTAGATGATATTTATTTTCTTGCATATTATATTGAGATCTCAGGACGGGCAGAGGGTCGGGGGCTGAAAGGATGTAATCGATGCTGAATTTAATTTCAGAATCCGATTTTGCTAAGGAAGAGTTGTTTAGGCTCTGCCTGTTGATCATGCTGTTTGGAGCAAACCCACGAGGCTCCAGTAGTCTCGGGCCCGATTCAATTCTTTCGTGTTTATTTTCAGAAGGGGAAATGTTGTTTAAAGCAGAGTCCATACAAGACATGTCGGAGGATGAAGGACTTTTCCCTCTGCTCGGTCTCTGCTCCTTATGTTCCCTTTTCACGTTCCTCCTCCTCCGTCTTCGCCTGTAATTCCCATTTTCAAAGAGATCCAGCATGGATTCACATCCTGTTGCAAAGCTCCAATAGTTTCCTTTCCCCTTCTCATTCCCTTCTGTTCTGGGAACCTGTATTTATTTAAAGGCAGTTCAGTATGTGTATGTGTTACAGATGCTGCTGCTTAACATCTGCATTCATTTACATTCAAGAATGGTGTAAACACATGTGACAAGACTTTTAAGCCTATTCTCTTTCATTATACAAATAGGATGTAAACTCCATCCTCTTCGATTTGTTATCTATTAGCACACATCAGACAAGGATATACTCTTTATAATTGACAACTCAGCGAGATTTTAAGTGATTCACAGCTCAGCTGTTTGTTTCCCTTCTTTCCTAGTGATGAGGTTATTCCTGCATATATTTTTTTCAGCTGTGCAGTGTGTATGTAAATATACAGTTACTGATCTTACCTTTACAAAACAACTGTTAAGCGATAAGTTATGTCGAATGGAGTTCTGCCAGGCTCTTTGATTTGATCTGTAGTAAGGAAATTTCTTCATTATAAAGTCATAAATGCCAGAGAGGGTGACTTTATTGGAAGGACTTTGCTGGATGGCCATTGCAATTAAGGCAATGTAGCTGAAAAAAGGAAAACTTGCTGTTACACCATCGCCTTACCCGCATACTCAGTTTTTAGGACCACATGGATACGCATGTGCCTATATCCTGCTTCCAAAAGTTCTCCCAGTGGATCTGCACCCTGACCTGAGACATCTCAGGGGTAAGCCCCGTGTGTTGTCACTGCCTTTCTGCTCTGAGCTCCCGAGGTGGCAGGCAGACGTTACCGCAATTGAGTCCTGACTGGGTCTTTGCCCAGGCACTCAGTGCAGAGTGCTTAGATACAGGAGGGTTACAGAAGGATCACCCACCTCTCAAATTTCATCAGAAAAGTTTCCCTGAGCTGGAAGACTGCAGTGAGACAGACCAGGCTCAGAGACGCTGTCACTGGAGACCTTGCCTGCTCACGGAAAGGACCTTAGGTGCCCCGTGAACATCTACACCGCGCATCTTCCCACTGCACCGGGTATTATCCGTATCCGATTCACTCATTGGCACGTTGCACATTTAATTCCCCTTCTCCCAGGGTTCCTGAAGGTTAGAGGAGACCATCTGAGATCTGGTGGCTCAAGGGCATGCCACAGTTTCTGTGATCCCACACAGGAGGAAACCACAAGGGCATGCCAGAGTTGCTGTGATCCCACACGGGAGGAAACCAATCATGAACACTTCAAACACGGAAAGGGGGGGAAATTTGCCCGCTGTGGTACCTGTGCCGGGGCCAGACCCACTGTGCACACCTGGGGAGAGGTCCCATGCTCCCCCAAGAACTGTGATCCCACCATCCCAGAGCTCAGAAACCTCCCCAGAGATGGGGGGGACTTGGAAAAACTTCATCTTACCTGTACGCTGGTCTGGTGAATTTTTTCTCTTCGTCAGAACTACAGGTAGGATAATCATCCCCATCGTAATTAAAGCAGTTATAGGGGTACTGCGTGTTGTCGAACATCGTCCTGCTCCTTGCTCGGCTCCTGTGGAGTGAGAGAGATGGAGTGATGTTTCTCAGAGCTTGGACTCCCTCCTCCCTTCTTCCCTCCCCTCTGTCTGTCTCGTTCCCTCTCTCCCCCCTCCCCACGCTCCCTCTCCTCCGTGCACACACACTCGCTGTGACGGGGTGGGGATTGGATTTGCAGTTCTCGCATCCCAGACAGCTCGTCTGTTAGGATATTTATTTTTTTTTTTGGGGGGGGGGTATTATTGTTGTTATTGCTGTTGCCTCCGACAGGCTGGCGGAGCCAGGGACTCGACAGAGCGGGTGAATTGGGGGTGAACCTTTGAAGCGGGGTGTGCCCCGCCGGTAGCTCCGCTCCGCTCGCTGGGTGGTCCAGGCTGGAGAGGGGCCAGTGCTTCCCCTGCCACATCCACAACGTGACAAAAGCAAACAGCATGATGTTAATAAATCATGCTTCAAGGTCTCTACTTGGAAATTAAACTTTGAGCGCAGAGCACAGCTTTCCCCGGCCCCCAAGTCCTCCCCCTTCATATTTTTCTCTCCCCAGCGCAGCAGGGTGGCTTTCTTATTTATTTATTTTTAGAAACCCGACGTACAATAAACAGACGTTCCGGGCAGTAACGCACGCTTGTCCTGATCTGCAATCTATAATAGGGTATAATAGACATAAATTATATTTCCATGACTAAAGGAAAATGTGTATGTTCAAAGAAAGTAGAACAGAGGGATACGAGGGACTACTGTCAAGCAGGAAAGTAAAAGGAAAATAGCTGTAGGCAGGAGAGCTGCCTGTGTGGGCTTTGATCTGAAGGATGAATTAGACTAATAGCCCTGTGTGTTGGCATCCAATACTGTAACAATTTAATAGTTTTTCAATGCTTTGGAGTGTTTTCCAACAAGTGATGTAAACCAAAGGCGTCACGCACCATTTCAAGGGGGACTAAAAAGGTGTGTGCCACATGATAATTAAATTATTTGAAGACAGCTCTGTCCCAGGAACTAGCCCCAGGAGGAAATGGGTATTGGAAAAGAGAAAGCAAATTGGTGTGTGGAGAGTTACCTGGATGGAAATACAAAAGCAGAACCACTAGCAATGCAACTTCTGTTTTCTGTAGCATCTTTCATACAAAGCATGTCCCCAAACCCCTTTTGGAGTTAAAGGATGCAATTAAGGGAAAATTCATCTGAATGATAAAAAAGCCCTTTAAAGTGATACTTAAGTGGCTCCTAGAGTTTAGCCAAAGATGGACATAAGAAAGCCTTTTCTCTGAAATATACCAATACATTCTAGGAAGGAGTAAGGGGAAATACATGGCATGAAAAAATAGATACAAGAGGTGTTTTCTTGGGCATATGAAGCCAGAGCAGATACCCAAAATCAGAAATTATCTCCACTCTAAGATACATCAATAGGCATATGCATGAGGCATCCACTGCAGAGGAGGTCTTAATACAAAGGGTCAGCTACTGCTGCCTAAGGCGTTAGCAGGGCTTTAATACTGAGTAAGACAGAGTAGGTTCAGTGGTGGAAAATGAAATATATAATGTCTGATCTTCATTCATACTCTCTCCAGCCAGACTGAGAAGGTTTAAAGTAAAGAAGAAGCTGGGCCACAGACTTGGGAAGATTTTCGCTCGCTAAAAAAAGGATCCTCGAGACACAAGCAAATCTCCACTTTGATTTTTAGCAGTGGTTTCTCTCTTTGAGGTGTTCTACCTCACTGAAATCGCAGTGGTTCAAACAGTCTTGCTTCTGGTTTATAACGATTTTTAAAAAGCAGAACTAGGTTAGTTTACTCTGATTTTACAGACAACCAGTTAGTGCCTTTTTTTTCAGTTCTTCTTACTCTATTTATAAAATTACCTTGCTAAGAAAGTCAGACAATACACTTTGACCAAATCCTCGCACATTTACTGACAGTATGTAGTAGGTAAAGTTTTCTGTAACGGGAATTAGAACAAATGATTGTAGTGTCATACATTTAGTAATGTTATTTACCTAAATTCCTGTATTTTATTGCTGTGTTGAGTGTAACCAGCTTGCCCATGTCTGGCACATCTATAAAGTGCATTACAGTTGGTGGTTAGCTCTGCTCTCTGTGTGAGAGCTCACGGCCACCGTATTCCTCATCCGTTTCAGTGGAAAATAACACTTAGATTAAATTTTCATCTCAGTGGCTGGTTTGTGAGTCTAAATTCAATAAACGAAGGTGGATTGTAACAACCAGCACTGGTGTCCTTGAGCAGTATCTCAGGAGTGAGTGGGGCCATGGATGGATGGGGCAGGGGCAGCTTGGCAAGACATGTAGGAAACTCCTGCCATTGCCATTTGTGTAACACATAATCCGTAGATAAATGTTATTATTTCCTGATAGCCAGCAGTGGGCTGGAGGATTGAGTTTCTGGCTCTGTAAATATCACTAAATTCATCTGCTGCAAATTCATACGGACCGTATGAAGAATGTAGACCATTTCTGAGTCCTGCAAGATCAGAAACAAATTATATATTGTCTCTCATAAACTTGTTTCTGAAATCCAGATATGTTAAACTGACTGAGTACTTCTCAAGGTATTTTTTAAACCCTGTACACTGATATTTTATCCCCAAGTGAATGCTTATGGTCCGATTATAATCCTTGAAAATAATATTCATAAAGAAATGCTAGCATGCTTTCATACATACCGTGGTGGAGCTACCAGGTGCCATGCTTATGGTGGCAAAACATGTTGTACAATAGCTTTTTCCTAGCATCTGCACAGCCATTATAGTTTAACTAGAGTAACTATAACTCATCCCTGTCATTATCATAAAAGCATAATTTTGCCAGGCTAGTCTTTTCTTATGTTGTATATTTTCAGCACACGAAGTTGTAAACCATTTGATTTGAGATTGTAAATAGGTAATAAAAATGCTGTGAAAGATTTGCCTGTTTTTTTAACATTGATATTAAGATGTTATTTGCAATTTTTGTAATTATGGCACAGATTATGAAAATTGTACGTTAAATTCAGACTGGTCATAAATCCAAACAGGGCTGAATTACTAATTGTTATAGCTCCTCAGAATAACAATGGGTACCTCAGTGTGTAGTACTGCACTCTGACATCCCAGTCCTCTTACTGGTGTAGACTGGCGTTTCCCAGCAGCATGGTTTCTCCTGCTCTCTCACTGAGTTGGGAGCCAGTGCTGGTTGCAGTTTAGGACTTTATCTTAAACCTTCTAAATTTATCATAGAATCGAAGAATGGTTTAAGTTGGAAGGGAGCTTTCAAAGATCATCTATTCCAATTTCCCCCTCTGCCATGGACAGGGACATCTTTCACTAGATCAGGTTGCTCAAAGCCACGTCCAACCTGACCTTGAACACATCCAGTGACAGGGCATCCTCAACTTCAGGACAACCAGTTTGAGTGTTTCACCACATTCATCATAAGGAATTTCTTCCTTATATTCAATCTAAATCTACCCTGTTTTGGTTTAAATCAGCAGAAACAAGTGGTGGCCTTCAGTAGGCTTTGGATCACCTAACAGTAGTCTATACCACCAGTAAACTACTTTCTTTTTAGTACAAGATCTGTAGGTCTGGCACAAAGAAGGTGGGGAAATGAAGGTGGTGGTAATTACTCTCCCAGTTGCCCTGATCTGAAACAAGGAGATGGAGAGTTCCCCAGACTTGGCTGGGTACTTGGCTGTGGTGGCACCTGATGCCCCATATAAGGGATCTTCTGACATTTAACTCAGTGACCCTCATTTCTATGAAAGCAATGAGTCTTGCTGCATTGTCCACCTGCATTTCATCAAAAATTGTCCTCTGCTTCATCCATGGCCATCAGCTGAATCGCTTTCCCTTCTGCTTTTCTTTTGTGTTCATGCGTAGAACTTCATGGAAATACAATTTGCACCAGAATTTGTGGTTTTCTGCTGGAGCTTAGTGACAATTGTTTATATTTCCTAGCAAGGGGATTATTTGGAGAGGCATTCCTCATCTGCATGCCTTCTAGCTGCAGCACTGTAGAACTCATGCATAAAACACAGAAAAGAGTTTCTGCTGAAACAGGAACGTGAATCAGAAACCTTCAATAACAATTCATCACATTAGAGGTGGTAATAAGAGAACAATTATGTAAACTAGGTCAGATATATTACCCTGCCCTAGCTAGATATGAAGATTCACAAGGCATATGTGGAAATCCATTTCTGGACATGCTCAGTGTGTTTTAGTAGAGAAAAACAGGAGAAGAAAGGTTTTCAGGGTGAAAAGCCATTTCTCCTACCTTACTCCTGTGTTGTGACTATTGGTCAAAAAACATTTTTTTCAGAAATTTCAGCTGGCCAAGCTGAGGACTTTCCACAGTCTGGTAGAGCCCTATGACCACGTTGTCACCAGGATGAACTGTATTTCCTTTGGGCCAGGGAGGAATTCAGATGGTATTTTGTTGTCTGCTTGGTGTGCGGACCTGGTACCCCACTCCATCACTCTCCAGTGAAACAGACTGTTCTTTTTTCTAACATTATCGCCCTTTCCCAGAGCATACCAAATCCTTTTCTAGTGAGAAACTCTCAAACAAATGAAGTGACAACCACTGAGTGGGCAAGAAGCCAGGAGCTGTGGAGAAAACCCGCAGGTCTATGAGACCAGCTCCTGGGAGCGCTGAGTTTCCTGGTGGAGCTGTTCATGCTGACATTTCAGGGTTGACGGTGAGTAATATCACACAAATTAGCACTACAAGATAGTATTTCTCCTTTTCTCCCATGGAGTCATGGCTTCAAAGACAGTGGAGAGAGAACATGGTCAGGTCTCTAGCTTTTAGGCATTTATTAAGCAAAATTCTTGATTTTTTTTTAAATCCATTTTCTACTTAAAACAAAAAATAATGGAAAGAGAATTAAAAAGCTTTACAAACAAACTTAAAAAAAAAAACAGTTTAGGTTGGACAAGATAGTTTGGGTTCATCTAACAGGATTTTCAAAATTTTATGTTCTGTCCTTGGTTTGCC